GCTTCTTGGATTTTGTTCCAAATATCAACAACTCTGACATTTTCCCCTGGAATTGCTTGCTTTTAGAAGCTAAAAAGTCCGAAAAAGATGAAATTGAGTGGCTCCGCTAATCTGGAAGAACTTCCTGACTTTTCAGAAGCAGAATTTTGAAGCATTTGGATTTGAAAGATTGCCACAGTTTGCGCAAGCTTCCTTCTTCTATATGGAAACTCATTTGGTTGAATTTCTTAGACCTTCATTTGATACCACACGTGTCTCTCCATCAATCGACTCATGGGAATGGCTTCATGAATTGGACATGAGTGGTCGTGAAAACGTTACAGAATTTCCTCTTGTTCCGTACACTGTCTCCGAGTTACATCTGGATTCAACAGGAATACAAGAAGCTCCTCCGTGGATCTCAGATCTCTCTGAGCTCACACAGTTGACGATGTTAAATTGTACAAAGCTGCGAAAGATCTCGCCAAGAATTTGTGATGTTACTTAATTTTAATGGCTGCATAAATGTGAACATCCCTGCAGAAATCTTCCAGAGCTTCTCTTTACACTATCGCTTGGATTTGTCATTGGACTACGTTGGCAAGAACAGTTTACCTACATTTCCACCTCAGGAGACCCACGATTTCCCTTACACTTGTGGTTGTTTGGGAACGATTTTGAGAGTATTCCACATCATCTTGTACCATATATATTATCAATAAACAATATTAGCATAGGAACCAAAGTTATATATCAGTTTTGGGATGAATTAATCCCGAATTTCAAATAACCGTTCGAATACTTGATTCTGATTAATATTAAAAACATAAAACATAAATTATCCATTTTTTCAAAAATTTTGAAATCAAACGTATTTTCTAAAATTTATGAACATGAATTTGTCATCTACTCGATTGGTGAAAGTTCAAATAGTATTAGTTTGTTTCTACATATATTTTGTATAATATTGTATACTATATTAGGACCCGCGTTGATATGCGGGTAAACACATTAAAATTTATTACTACAAACTTTAAGTTTTAATTAGTAACCCGTCAAATTACAAAAAATATTTAAAAATATTTAAACATGGATCTTGAACCA